TTGGGAACTCCAAGGAAGTAGCAACCACATCTGCAGACTTGTTTTTAGTCTAAACTAATCTGCCTGAGACAGACCAGCAATGTGGTCTTTGGAGTAGTCCTGTGTCAAAGCCCATAAATTATCCATCATCTTCCTGAAGGAAGGCTAAAGGGCAATTAGATAGGGTCCCACACTGCTCTTTTAAGGTGACTGGGTGTGAGCTTCTGTGCTGGTGTGCCTGATCCCTGCCCCTAGAGGTACCAACATTGTTACCACCTTGTGTTTAAGAAGCTGCCACTGCTGGCTGGTATTAGTAAGCCAGTGCTCTATTGACAACCTGAACAACTTTGTTAAACTACCTCTGATGCTATAGCAAAAGCCTACAGCTATCACTCCTCTGACTTCTGGTAATAAACTGTGTCCTCCACATCTCCTCACCAGGAATTCACTGACCAGCTTGAAGAGCCTACACCGAGTTCACTGCAGAGAACCAGGTCCCTGCTGTGGTTACTACAAAGTGTTCTTCTATAAGCAAAATTAAAGTGAACAGAATTGGCAGGTGGTAGTGTTCACAGCAAGGCGTATCCCAACTCTCCGTCAAATACAAACCAAGATCATCACAAGACCCCCTAAACCCATTCCCTTTGAACTCCAAACAGAAAAACTAAGCTGTCCAGTAACTTTGGGATGACTTTCTGTTAGGTGGTGCAGTTTCCATATTCGGAGTCAGAAGTTAGCCCATCCCAAGTTTTTGAGTCAACTTAGGGCTGAGTCACTTTCAATACCACTGTACTTATATGATACTCAAGAACCTGCTGCTGACCAGCAGAGAATCATGATCATGTAAGACCAGCCCACCAAACCTGTTCAGGGTACTGCCAAGGACCATCCAATGTAGAACCTCTGGGGGTAAATCTTGGCAAGAAAACTTTGTAGACATTGAACATGATTCACCAGATTCAGCATCAGGAATCTGAACTAGTCTCATGGGCAATGATGGCCTCAGAAAATTTTAAAATTGTGAAGTATAGCAATTACTATGGAGAAATTGACCTTGCTTAGCATCTTCAGAGGCCACATGGGCTCTTTTCACCCTCTCCCCACTGCGAATTTTACAACAGGCTGTTTGGAAAGGAAATAGGTAAGACAGTCATCATAAAAGTCGGGACAATAGAGGGATGGGATGAGACCTGCTCTGCAGTTCTGCCCTGTTTTATTTCTTGACCCGGATGGTGGTCACTTGTGCTTCATTTATAATTACTTATTAAATTGTATGTGCTTGCATACCTTTTTTTGTATGTATGTTACATCTCAAAATAAGTTTTCTATTTTTAAGTAAAAGTATTACAGGATACCTGGAGCTGGTCTCTTATATTTCAGGATCTAAGTGAAGCCAAAGTAGAGGTAAGAAGCCCTCTGGTCCCACCTCTACTGTAGTCCTAAGAGGAGTGTGGCTGAGAGCTCCATGTGCAGTGGCTCAGGCACCGGCACACGAGAAGCTGAAACTAGTATTTATTTTTTTAATATATTTTTATTGACTTCAGAGAGGAACGGAGAGGGAGAATCATTGATCAGTTGCTTCCTGCACACCCCACATTGGGGATCAAGCCCACAACCTAGGCACGTGCCTCAACCAGGAATCTGTGACCTCCTGGTTCATAGTTTGACGCTCAACCACTGAGCCAAGCCAGCTGAGCAGTATCTTTTGCTCTAATTCAAGAATAATCTTACTAGCCTCTTGAGTCTTAATAACAACTTCATGATGAGATGAAATCACTCACTGAGTGTTCATGGTGACCTATTCAAAGCCACAAGAGCAGCAAGTATAAAAGATGTAGGACAGTTAACCTAAAAATGGAAAGTCAGAGAGAATTTTGTTTTGTTTTGTGACATGGCATATCACTCAGGAGCTTGATGAAATAGGGGTAAAAGCACTACACAAGAGTTTTCCAGTTAAGATTCCAATTCATTGGGTCTGGGAGTGGGGGCAAAAATCTGAATTTTAAAAAGAATTCCAAACAGGATTTTGTTTTGATTTTCCAGATTAGGAATTACTGTACAAGACACCATGATTACTTCTCTTAGAAAGCCAGGGTCCCTAATACTTTTCTTTCTAGACATAAATCAGGCCTGGTTTTCTCTCTGCCAAGTTTATCTTTGGTTGGAAAAGAATTGGTACCACCTGCCAAATTTGAGGAGCTGTGTTTTTGTTTGCCACGCCTAGAGCACTTGTGGAAGGGTTGGGGGTGGGGGGGGGGGGGGGGCAGGGGAGTTAAGGAAATAAATGTGATTATATGCAAAATCAGGACACATCAAAGTGTTTCTAGTGTTACCTCTGGATGGCAGGTGATTTATTTCCCTTGTTTTTTTCATTTCCAAATTTTCTACACTGAGTTTCTTATGTAGTAAAACTGTAACAAATTAATGTTTAAAAGATTGATGAGAACAGACACACTCTGCTCTTGCCAAAGTGCACAAGCACTTGTCCCGCCACTGGCTGTGTGAATGACAGTGCCCCGCTTGGCACCATGGACAGCAATCAGGGAAGGGTGAAAGGGCAAGAGGCCTGGGACAGGCGGGTCTCCCAGTGTACAGCCTATCCTGAGCTGCCTGCTTCTGAAGGAATTCTTGGGAAAATACAAAAAAATATTTCTACTCCTTAGTCCTTTTAAACATTTATTTATTTACTGTACAAAATATTTACACAGTCATTGCAACTGTCTGGCCCTTTTGCCTGGCCTGAAAATTTGCAGCAGGGCTTGGTCTCCGCTGAAGTTCTAGAGACATGCCGATGTTCTCCGTGGTGTTCACTTTGTATCTGGTCTCCTTCAAAGACACTGAAGGCCAGGAGGTTAGCTGACCCCCAAAGTACCTGGGCCACAAGGACATAAATAAAAGAACTGGCCAAAATAAGAAACGTGAATAGAAAATTGCCCGAGAAGTAACACACACTACTTCTCTCCGACACACTGTACCTTTCCCCACACTGGCTAGTACCAAAGCAGGATTAGAAAAGAAAAAAAAAAAAAAAAAGGAAAAAAAAAGGCCCCAAAGAGCAAAGATACATTTGAACAGTTAGGAGAGAGGATAAACTGGAAGAATAGAAAAACCACAACAGTACCAAAGGGTTTTGTTAAACAAAGGCCCTGGGGCTCAGGACCCCCACAGGGATGCAGCTGCCCCAGCTGGGCAGTGGCGGTGCCCAGGATGCTTTGAAAAGTGCTATGACCAGAGTTTAAAATGACAGGTCTAGCCAAGAAAATCAAATCGAGCTCCAGCGTCAGTCTGTGGAGAGCTGCTGGAGGGTGAAAGCAGAATCCAGAAGAGGAGTAACTGCCAAAGACAGCAGAACCAGCCCCCGGGCCCCCCGCGGGAAACCCCTCTCTGGGCCGAGGGGCAGCATCGTGTTTCCCAGGGTGATGACAAAGCTTGCCTGTACATATCCCATGGGAAACACTGGGGCAAGCAGCAGCACCTTGTCCTGGTCCCTGAGGAGAGCAGTGACCATGTGGCATGCAGGACCCTGTGGTGTAGAGGCCCTGACACTGGATCCTGGACCCCAAGAATGAGTGAGGTCAGCACCCACACCAAGAAGGACAAATGACGACTGCGAAGGAGTGAGGTCAGGCATTAACAGCAGCAACTCAGAAGGGCTTGTTCCTTGTGATCTCTGGGAGCAGGAGGGCTCAGACTTGCTTCCAGGAGGCCAAGGCAATGCCACAGTCCTGCCTCCTCTCTGGACTCTGTGTACTTGCTGGTTTTGGCGATAAAGATGGCTTGTAATAGTCTCAGACTTGAATGCCCCATTGGGAATAGTAGCTTGCTACAAAGCCTTCTTAAAAACAGACATGTGGGACAGTTGATGAGGTTTTGCGTCTTGCAAATGTTTTCATTCAAATTGTAATGTTGCCATCATCCAAGAGACGACAGCAGGTTCTCCTCAATCATCACACAATAGTGAACCTAATATATCTTCCTCCCTTCTTAGTTCCCCTTGGTGGTAACTGAGGGAGTGAAGGGAAGTAACTGGGGCAGCTAGGTGTTTACTGCCTGACATATCTCCTCTGTTCCCAGTATCCTGACCCAAAGGACCTGTGAAAACACTTGAACTGTTGGTCCCCTTCCCTTGCCCCAGTGCTGCCAGAGAACACCAAGCAAAGAGAGAAGCAGGGATCACTGGCATGCTATTCTTACGGTCCCAGTTCCTTGCTCCAAAATTTTCTTCAGTAGAAAGCAAAAGAATCCCAGCTCTTAGCAGACTGTATAACTCGAAGGCAGGTGACCAGGCCCAGCCACACCTCAGCGTAAAGAACAAACTTAGGGACAAGCATCAGTAGTCTTCAAGCCAGCCATATGCCTAGACACACCCCCAACCTTAAAGGAGAAGCAGAGTCGGCACTGGAGGCCACAGCCCAGCTATCTTTCACATGCTTAGGTCTGCTTTTCTCACCGGCTCAAACTCAAGAAAAAGCTTAGAATTCTTTAGAGGTTAATGACCATTTCCAGAAACGCCTGCAGGGAAAGCTCCTTTTCCAGTTCGGAACCACAGAAAGATCCATTTGTGCTCTCAGTCCCCATCAGAGGTAGTCCAGGGCCAATGCCTATGCCTGCCATTGTGCAGAGGGACAAAACCAAAGATTGCGCATGTGGGCCTCTTCCTATCTGTGCTTCTCCTGGCTCCTGCTGAGAAGAGGCAATCACCCTGCCCACAAGAAGGACTCACAGACCTCAGGTCAAGTAATGAGGGCCACAGAGGGACCCCGAGGAGCATAAGCAGAGGAGGATAGCAAGGCGAGGGCACCAGCTCCCCAATGAGAGCTGAGCCCTTTGTGTAATCTCCTTCAGCTAATGAGGCAGCTCCCGCCACTGAGATCTCCTAAGAACCAAGTGGAATTACAGCAGCACGGTCCTCTTCTCGTGACTCAACGAGTAGCTCAGAATACATATCATGCCAAAGTGGCCTGTGGGGAGAAGATGGACAGGAAGGGGGCGAGGGAAGGACAAGGCCTGTAGGTGACCAAATACTCCAGACACTGGGGAGCATGCAGCAGCTTCTGGTTGATGGTTATGTGTTCTGTTAGCATCAGTGGTTATGATGTCTATTGTGCGCACCCAGATGCTCCAGAAAACACAGGAGCCAAGAGGATGGCAGGAGAGTGGTCAGAGCATGCCAAAGCCCTCACAGCCCTCGCTGATGGCCAGCTGCAGCATCCTGTGCACCTCTTCATACGAGTCATACGTAGGGAGGCACAGCTGGTTAAAACTGGAAGGGCAAGGGGAGAAGTGATTAACTCAAAACCACTGACAAAGGCTGGAAAAATAATCCCTCCCAAGAGCATGCATTGGGCAGTCAGATACCTACCATGTGTGTGCAGTTGGTAGCGTGCTGTGGGTTGGAGCAGCAATAATCTGGAACGAGGGACAGAGGGCCGCAAAGCCTCCGGGTGGCAGCTGAGAGGAGCCTGTTGTGAACTGAAGCAGCCGAGCCAACTCCTCCTGGGTCAAACTGGAAACTACAGTCCAAAACCACCTCATGACCTGGAAGGGAGAGCACAAGGTTGGGGTCACACCAGTATGCAGCCCAGGGTTTGACCTCAGGGCAAGGAAGCAACAGGTCACCCAAAGTGGGGGTGTGGCTCAGTTACTGCTCTGTGAGGACACAGGTAGGAATGGTTGGAATTGACAAACTCTCTAGGTCCTAGTCTAGGAGTTTGCATTGTCGCGCAGTCAGGAGGGAAGTCACCGAATGCTTGGTTCTGTATCTTTGACTTTCCAATGCACTGTTTCTGTGGCAGTCAGCATGATAGCCAATAGAGACCAGGGTCCCTTTTGTCTTTCCCACACATATATCATTTTTTTTCCCCAGTTGATATGTCTGCTTTTCTGACTCAACTTTTTTTTTTTTAAAACCTCACCCAAGGATATGTTTAGAGCAGGGGTGGGGAATGTCCAGCTCTCCAAATCATTTGGTCTGGCCCTGCCAAGGCATTGTGGGTGAGTTAAATAAATATTTTACCAAACACAGCAGGCTAATTTTTAAGTTGATAATTCTGTATGGCCCATGAATGATGTTATAAATATTCAAATGGCCCTTGGCAGAAAAAAGGCTTCCCACCCCTGGTTTATCAATGTGAGCCTCTCATATGTGCCCCGACCAGGGATTGAACCCACAATCTTTTGGTGTACGGGACAACACTCCAACCAACTGAGCCATCCAGCCAGGGCTTCAACTTTTGTGTTCTGAAACTTTTTCTTTACAACATGGCACAAATCCAACTAAAAGAAATCTGGCCCACTTACCTTTTCTCTGAAATGCCATGAGCCACCAACGACCATTGCATGGGCTTTGAAATCAGCCACACTGATGTCCCCAGTCCCACACATCAGTAGCTGGAGAAGATAGTCAGGTGTTACTAGGAAACTCAGAGGAACAAAGACTCAGCATAAGGTTGATTACCTATGTTAATATGCAAAAATGTAGAATAAAGAAAACACTAGGAAAAAGACAAAAGGTGAGGTCACAATGCCAGAATACCACTTTAGGAAAATCAATTATAATAGGCCAAAGTTTCCTAACCAATGTGCTAACGATCACACAGCCTTTTCTAAAAAAAAATATGTTGTTTTTCAAATTGATTTGAGAGAGAGAGAGGAAGACAGAGGGAGAGAGAGGGAAAAAAAAAAAAAACACACCACTGATGAGGGAGAGACACATTGATTGGTTACCTCCAGCATTCACCACAACCGGGGATCGAACCTGCAACTTGGGTATGTGCCCTGACCAGGAATCGAACTGGCGACCTTTCAGTGCACAGGACGATGCCCAACCAACTGGGCTACACCAGCCAGGGCAAATCACACAGCTTTTTAAAAAATATATTGATGCCTATGGTCTTAGCCTAGACCTTTTGAATCAGAATCTCTAGGAGTAGGTTACAAGCGTGTGTTTTGAAAAAGTTCCCCAAGCATTTCTGATGCACCCACCTAATTAAGAACTGCTGCTGTGGATTATTTTGAATGGTAACAAAGGACAAAAAGGGAATTAAGTTTACTGACAGTCTGATCTGGACGGAGCCTAGAAACACCATCGAGAAAAGCAGGCCCATTTCCCTTTGATGAAGACCCCCCGGCCCAGTGATCAATCTGTCAGGTGGCTTTTCCTTTTCCCCAGGATCCATCCTTTTGTGGACTGAACTTTCACTACCTTCCTTCTACTCAGCCCAGCCCCTACTTGATCAGATAAATTAAAAAGCACGCCAAAAAGTGAGAACATTAATGAGATCAGAGCCCTCAACATCTTGTTCATGTCCTCATCTGGTTCAGAACCCTGCGTGTTACTTCAGACTGTGAGTCCTCATCCAATGGATATAAAGAATGATACATCCTAATCAAGAGACGAGAAAAGCTCACATTAAGCCTTAAGAGCCTTGGCTCCTTCAAAAAGAACTGGTTAAGCTAATGAGTAACTAAGAGCAGCATGTGGAACTGTAAGAGACTGTGTCCTTCCTTCCTACTCACTTTTACAAATTGTTACAAATGCTTTGCTTCAGGATACAAACAAATATACCAGTAGCTATTCCTCAGTCCCCAAATAACAGCATTAGGTTTCTATCAGAAACTTTAGGCTGAGAGATGGAGAGTTCATTTTGTTTAGATTCATATTTAAAGGTATAAAATGTGATGAAAATTGCACAAGATTTTGAGTCTTGTTCTCGAAAACAGTTCAGTTAATAAGAATAAAAATTGTACAAAACCACCTAAACTTTTTTGTTTTTTCATTTTTAAAGAACTTTCTCCATACAGGCAACAGTCTGCAAAAAACACATTCCTCATAAGAGCTAATAATTGAAACTAATAATTTGCCTTATATGTATCATCTGTGAGCAGCAGGTAAAAAACGAATTTTATGTTTTGTTCACACCTGATACAAACTCGTATTTTGCTACTGACAGAATGGCATTTACCATCATAGAGCCATATTTTGGTTATTACAGGATCTAAGATAAGAATATATTAACTGTATAGCATTGTGGCCCCAAACGTTGAAATATGTCTTCCTCACTGGAATGTTCCATGAGGGCAGGGACTTTTTTACTCATGGCATACAGGAGGCACTCAATAAATAGTCCCTGAACAAATATGTCCTATTATTCCCTTAAGTCATCTTTAAACGTCAAAGACTGTACATGATACTAATTCTTTAGTATTCAACCAATATCAATAATATTTGAGAAATAGGTGAATATTAATTATTACTCTTCAAAAATAATTAGCTATTTACTGGTTTCTAATTTTCACATTCTAACTTTTTATTTATTTTTTAATCCTCACCCGAGGATATTTTTCCATTGATTTTTTTTTAGAGGGAGTGGATGGGAGGGGGGGAGACAGAGAGAGAATAATATCAATATGAGAGAGACACATTGATTGGTTGCCTCCAGCATGAGCCTGCAACTGCAACCGAGGTATGCACCCTTGACAGGAATTGAACCCAGGACCCTTCAGTCCATGGGCTGGCACTCTATCCACTGAGCCAAACCAGCTAGGACACATTCTAACTTTTTAAAAGCTGACGAATGGGTCAATGCTTGGGAAGAGTGATAAAAGTGAAATCAACCTTGCATAAAGGGCTTTCCCGTGGGAAAACTAAAACACTGAGTCAAGAATGGGGGTTTGTGAATATAAACACTTACCTCAAGCTCATTTTCATCAAAAATAGCCAAAAGGTTCTCAGGGACCAACTCATTCAGGCCTGAAACAAAGTAGCCCAGTTAAAACCATACCCACACCATGGATACAGGTACTTTCACATCAAAGCTAAGAGCAGACAGAATCTCACCTTTCAGGAAATGTTCCACCTCCTCTTTCACTTGACTGGCCAGCCGATATTGGGCCAGCAAATTTAAATAGAAGATTTTATTCGCATTAGTGACTGGGGTTTGAGCTCCACCTGTCATGAGTTCAACAACCTAAAATAAGATGCAAAAGACAGAGGGAGAGGCTGCAGATGAGCGTCTGTAAGATATCAGCTGCTTGGTATGCCCCACAAACACAGCGTTAATGACGTCCATCACAGTTGCAAGTTTCTGCCGTGCATTCAGCTTCTCAACACACTTGGTTCTGTACAGTTACTAAGCTTCTGGGTTCCCACCACTATTGCTGTATTCTACTAACTATTTCTGAAGTGGGGATCTGAGGGAGTCTTCTCTGACCTAGTCAAACAGTGGTGATGCAACAGGAAGAAGATACTCTGGTCCCTTGTTAGCAACATTTTAATGTCTCTATGATCTGAAATTAAACCATCACAACCTCTTCTCTTAAACCCCTAAGCCAATTGAGAATAAATAAAGCCAGATAAGTAGTGAAGAAATCTCTTTAGAAATTCTAAGGGATCAGTTGTTCCCTTATATCCTTCCCTTACAGTCCCACAACAGTCACAGAGCATATGTGATTATCAGTACAATGGTATCAATCAGTGGTCACAGTTTTTTAGTCATTGCTATTTGCTTTCAATTGTATGTTACTGCAACTTTACCTTCATGATTTTGTTTAGCACTACAATGTAAACAGAACCACATTTGCATCAGAAGTACTTTGGGCTAATAATTTTGTAATAAAGTTTTAAAAATATTCAGGTAGTGTTAAAATAGGAGCCATCTACATCAACACCACTAAAGTTGAGATAGGTATGCCATCCCCTCCAAAGCTCCTTGTGCAGTGACACTGCATTATCACTAAGTTCTTTTTCTACTAGAAAGTAAATAGGTGGGATAGATGGGTTCATGTGTCTTTTACTCCACTAAAATGGGCCAGATCATAAAGTGTAGGATGCAATGACCTAAACCTATCTTGCCCAATATGGCTGCCACTAGTCATAGGTGGTTATTTACATTTAAGTTCATGAAAATAAAATAAAATGAGGAATTCAGTTGTTTGGTCACACTGGCCACATTGTGGGTGCTCAGCGGACAGCACGGACAGAGAACATGCCCATTTTGCAGGAAGTTCTATTAGGCTGCACTGCTCTGAAAGAGGGTGGGAATCAGGGGACCCACGGGCTCTGGTCCTCGTTCTCACCTTATCCAATTGACCTGATTTGTTATATTTCTCTTCTGCAAAGACCAGCTCCATCTCACTCATGTCATTGTTGAGGATAAAACAAACTTTAGATTTGTAGAATTCTGGGTCATCCGTTTCAAAGTACTGAGGAGACAGAAAGACAGAATAGAACATGACTACTCTTACCCAGAAATGAAATTTACAACTGCTAGGAACCACTTACCCCTTCAACCTTAAGAATAATTAGCTCAGAGTGGAGAGACTCCAGAGTTCATGGCCAGGGGCCTTAGTAGAAAACACACCTCAGACATTACCTTGTAATGCATACGTAGTCCTATGATTTGGGCCAAGAAAGAACGGGTGAAGCGAGCGCGGACCAACTGCTTGTAGGCTCCTCCTAGAGACGACTCATAGAGACACTTGCCCACGAGCCGCCCTGCAAACTCATACATCTTCAAGCGTAGATGAGGGGGGCGGTTAGGGTTGGGATGCACCTGTCAAAAAAAAGACATTAAAAAGCTTTGGGCCATTTTTCTTATAGCCTAGTTCTGGAAAGACCCACCCTCCCAACTCCATTCCGAGAGAGCAAGAATTCCAGTATTAAATCAAAGAGCCCATCCAAATGGTATTGGCCTTTTGGTAGCCACTACTGAGTAATTCAAGTGACTGGAGGATAAAGGGCAGAGATGGCCTTACATTAGGCTGAAGAATCTTACATAAGTTTGTGGCTTCATCTGGGTGAGTATGGGAGTAATCAGTGCATGAGGTGATGATGCCTTTTCCCTAAACCAGAACTTCCTTCAGCCAAAGTCCACTTCTCTCCTCCTGACACCTCTGCTTAGTCAAAGGTCTAGTACAGAATTCAATAGCTTCAGGCATGTTTTGAGAAAGTGGCTTAATTATTATTATAATTAGAATAGCCATTGCATTATAATGCTTTTTAGTAAAATATTAATCTGTCTGCATTTTCTCTTATCCTAGAGATGAAATAATGAAGGCAAAGCAGAAGGAGGTTAACTGATTAGTTCATATTGTAGGGAAAAACAGGGCACAAATTGTCAGATTCCCAGATTCATAATCTCAAACTCGTCAGTCTACTGCATTATTATAACATAATCTACATTTTCCACCCACCCATGGGGAAGTCACAGACTCACTAATGCTTGGTTGTTGTCACTGAATCGGGTAAAGAGCTGATTGGTGGTATCAAATAGTGCTTTGCAGATTAGCTCAAACCATTCCCGGCGAGGCCCTCCCCAGTCCAGAGCTGAAAAATATAATAAAAATAAAAAGTAACTCTGGCCTACTATCTCCTATCATGTCTGTTCATTAATCCATTATTTTATACTCTCCACACTCCCTCCATTCCACTACCTTACTGTTTCCCCCTTCCAACCCACATTAACTGGACGTTTTTTTGAAATCCCATCCTTCTATAGGATTAAAGGTCACAAACTAATACCCCCTAGTGTGGAAACACAGGAGATAAGATATCCAAGGAAACGGACCTTTCTCTTAGTTCTACAAAGGTGAAAAGTTTGCCCTTCTGGTTCAAATACACAGAGCTCTCCCTCTAAGCCCCTGTATGTCTGTGCTCTATGAGATCCACCAAGTCATCTAGCCAGTAAACACCACCTTTTATCTTGACTCATGAATTTTTTCCCTTGGAAAAAAAATACACCCCCTTGGGTGTATTCAAGGGGTTTTGTTTTTTTGTGGAGAAGGGGTAAGAAATAGAATACGAGTGAGAGTGGAGTTTAAAAAAAAGATGAATATGAACTTTCAAAACTGACCTTCTTCGTCCTGGAAAACCACTTCAAAGTTCTTGCTCCAATCTGAGATGGAGAAATTCCGAGTGGCTTTCAGAGACTGAAAAGTAGCGAAAGGAAGGAAGTATCAGAACATTGGCTGGCATCTCTTGGGTGTTAATGACAAAAACACAAGAATAATGCTATTATTGTCTACTAGTTATTAGAGGCAATCTATTATTCATAAACTAGAGGCCCGTTGCAGGAAGATTCCTGCAAGAATAGGGCTTCCTACGGCTGGAGCAAAGCAGAGAAGGGAGCAAAACCCGCTGAGGCGGGCTTCGCTCCCGTCTCCATTGCCTGGCTTGTTTCGCCCCCGCCTCCCTCCGCCGCCTGGCCCGGCTTGTTTCGCTCCTGCCTCCGCCTCCCGGCTTGTTTTCGGCTGCCTGGCTCGCTTCGCTCCCAGCCAGTATATGCAAATTGACCGCCATCTTTGTTGGCGGTCAATTTGCATATCGCGCTGATTAGCCAATGGGAGGCATAGCAAAGGTACGGTCAATTACCATGTTTGTCTATTATTAGATAGGACACGCTTTAATAACACCACTTTATAATTAAAATACATGTATCTCCAGAAGAAATTTAAGGTTTTAAAAAATAATCTAATTTGTCTTTACACCATTACTTTGTTGAAAAGTTGACGCTTGTTTTTCTTTTTACAATCCTCATTTTATTAATGAAAAAATGCTTAAAGAACTAAAAATGGCTCAGATTAGTAAGCTGTCAGCAAGAGAACCAAGGAGTCCTGGTTTTTGGTAAAGTACAGTCTATTTGCTAGGCGTCTTTATCCAAAGGCTAGGTTCAGACAGGGAGCCATACCACATGGAGAATGCGGCTGAGAAAAGAGGTTTCCAATCACACCTACCAGAGCCAAACATCACAAACACATTTTGGACTGGGACCAAGCCTTCTCATTCTTGGGGAATGTAAGAACTATGCCAGCGTCTGTGCAGTGGAGACAGACACACATCAGGTGTTCCTTTTCCATCAAACCAGAGTGACAACAAAAATCATTGCCTTGTAATCCAACAAGAGCTCTTCTATTCCAGGGATTCAATAACAAGAACTTTCTTCTGTAACAACTACTTATACCTGCCCTGCAGAGGAGTTCCATGAGTTTATTCAGGAGCTAGTTCAGTACAAATTCTAAAGCCAATGTGTCAACCAGTCTCTCTCCTTAATAACATACCTCCAACAAATCTGCCCCAAACTTAGTATAATCAAACAGAAGAATAGTCTTTTCACAGGTATGTTTAAAGGGAAGTTTGGGTTTCATGAAAAAGATAACCTGAAGAATATAACCAAATATCAAAGAGGCTCCTAGCTGAAAAACTTTGATAACTTTTGACAGAGATGAAACTTTACTCACCGATTCCAACAAGGCATGTCTGCTGACCTTCAGGGTGACTTTGGAATGTGGTCTTTTCATATGTACCTGCCGAAGCTCTCGCTGGAAAAAGTTCACCTTGTCCTGAAAGGTCTCAGAGCCTCCTGAGGAACCGTAAGATTCATCTTGATTACAGCCTTATTACAAGACATCTGTGCAGGCCACTTCTACACCCTCAGGCACCCACAGTAGCTGCGGTCACTGCCCAACTTTACCTATGTTCTTATGGAGGGAACGGATGAAAGTGGCTGCGAGGATGTTCCTCTCCTTACAGCTGAGCTCCACAGGAGGCTGAATGCCATCATCTACCACCAGTGTAAGGAGCTTATGGACAGGGTCGGGGCCAAGGTACGAAAACTAGCAAAGGCGGGGAGAAAAAAGGAATTAATTTATAAAAACCTCAACTCCAGCAAAAACCGCCCACAACCCTATGCTCTGTACCAACGAACAAAAACAAGTTAAGCCTGTTTTCTCCAAATGAGTACCTACCAGGAGTACATTTCCTTGTTTTTCACTTCAGTGCTCTACAATTCAAATTTTAAATTATTTGAGTCGCAGAGACTGCCTTTAGTAAGGATCACAGGCAACACTACAGACCTTCCAACAAGGAATACAAGCAGGATGAAAATAGTAAGGATCCATAAAATAGCAAATAACCACGTGAAGAGGTTGGGCAAACTGGGTGGAGGAAAGTGATTTGCCCTTAGATTCCAAAAGCTCAGAAAAGTTAAAAAAAAATTTTGTAATATATGAAAATACTGATTCTAAAAGAGATTCAATATACTGTGAGACCAAGCTGGGGGCAAAGTTTTTAATACCCTCTCCATTAACTTAGGCCTAAGGAAAAAGACAACTCTCGCATTATTCTGTCTTGCTTTTAAATTCCTGTAAGACGTGTCTTACTATACTGTCTGTATTCTTCATGAGGTTTCATGAGATAATTGCGAACAGGCTGAGTTATTCCAGGGCTGAAGCCTGCTCAGCAAGAACCAGATGTAAGGATCCACTTACTTTGGTTCCTGGGCACACTCGGAAGGTATAAAGGCGCCAGGGAATGATCTTCAGGTAGAACTCCTTCACTGAGAATTGCTGATGGGCCAACAGACAAAAAACCAAGTGAATGATAAATAAAAAGGCTCTATTTGCATACTATAACTCAAATATCAGAGTCCCCATCTATACTTCTCATGATAACCCTTTTCATCTATGGACAAAAAGGATAATTTAGGTCAGCATTGAAATCAAATAAGTAATATCACCTTCTTGAAATAGGCAAATTAAAAATAATACTCTGACAGTGCAATTTCACATAGAGATATTTCATACTCTTAACATTTAAGTCTTACTACCATTTGCAAATATCTGAGCTCAGGTTTTCACTTTATGAGTAGAGAACATTATTTCACTTGGAAACAATAAAAATCTACTTCTGCTCAGCTCAGTGCTGCTCAGAGAGACTTTCTCTAAGTCAATGAACAGGGAACAGCAATGGCCCATATCTATTGCTTTATCCCTATTTAAATGGTACCAAGGATTTGCCAGGGAAAAGGGGGTGGGGGATAGAAAGGTGATTGGGGTGGAGTCTCATACAAAAAGGTTCAAAAAAATTCCTCATTAAGAATAAAGAAGGATCTCTTTATGTCATAAAGAAAAAGACAATGCCATAATTTTTTTTAATTTAAAAAATCTGTGATGCGTAGTAGCTGATTTTTTTCTAGATTTTAAAAAATTCTTCATTAAAGAAAATTTCACACACATACTAAAGAAGAGAAAAAGAGTCTAATGAATCCATCACCAACTTCAAAAATTATCAAATCATAACCAATCCTGTTTCATCTATACACCACTAGTCCCTCATTACCATTCCCCCATGCTAAATTAAGGTTAGATTTTTAAATAACAAATGGTAACAAAGTATTCTAACGGAGAATAGTATTAGAACTCAGTTTTGATTATGACATTAAAGGGATATAATGGGATGTTTCAAGAGTCTCATTTTTCTGAGGTTTGAATGAACAAGCAAAATACAAATATTAAAAAGAAAATCTCTAACACAAAGCACCTCTTAGCTCAGGGCCCTTGGGAAGTTCACCTCCTTGTCTCTGCCAAAATTTCTGTTCTAATCCTGTAGCCTGATGGTGACATCCACTTATTGTGGTTTCACAGATGACAGAATGAAAGATCAAATTGTTTCAAAAAGCACAAGGGGACAACAGTAATTTTCATACTAGTGAGAACTTTTAAAGTGACTTTCTTTAAAGCTCTAAGAGCCATGCCTTGAAAAATCTTCCCAGAAGCACTCGAAGGTCAGAATGCCACAGGTTCCCTAGAGCACCAAGGCAGAGACTTAAATCTAGTCCAAACCAAACATCTGCAGCAGAAGAGGTGGCATACCCTCTGCTGCTTCACTTTAAGTAACCTCTCTTAGCATCCTAGAAACCCTGCAAGTCAGTGATCTTGCCTGATTCTCAGACTATTACCAATTACATGCAGGCTGGGCTGGGGGATTTAGAGGCAAGAATGGGAGTTCCAACCTTTGGTGACACATAGCAGTACACCTTCTTCGGTTTCTTCACTTTCTCGGGGGTGTGACACTCAGAAGGTGAATCTTCATCTTCCTCCTCAGCAGCCATGGAAGGCCGGCGCTGGGAAGAGCTCATGTGCATGGGTGGGAGGTGCCACGGTGTGCCGGTGCAGTTGGCAGCATTATAAAGATAAGCCTCAAAGTAAATGCTCACTCCTGAGGTGGACACATTGCGTTCAACAATATTCTTTTCATTCTCTGAAGTAGAATAAGGAATAAAGTTTAGAGTAGGAGTCAGAGGAGAAGAAAAAATTAAACTTTTAGCCCACACGACTCTGAGCTAAGTTTGGCTCAAATAGCAGATGTTTGTGTGTGAAGTTGTCAAAAGAGCACAGACATGCAAAGAACAAATCACAGCTTTTCTTTCAACTCACCACTTAGGACAATAATGTCAAATTCGCCATTATGGATTGGCTGATTTTGGTACGAAATGCAGGCATGGAAGCAGCCACGAGAATGCAGGGTGAGTCGCAAGAAGACCTGGCAGGTCTGTCTGTTGGATGTCACTGACTTCTCAAATGAGACACCAGTGTGCTCTTCTTCTTGGGGACCGAGCTATACAAGGAAAACAAAGCATCACTAAACATATATAATTTTCCATATTTGCATGTAATTTACTCTTTACAAAGAACTTTCCTATCTATGAGCTAATCTAAGGCTCATAGTTACTAATGAGATAGGTATTATCAGATGAAGGAAGGAAGGAGAGCACAGAAGTCAAGAAATGGAAGTGAATTAGAAAGGGCGAGAATGATAGAGAAAGGAAAACAGAGAGAAAGAAGGGGGAGGCTGCTTACCTCATGAATGGACAAACTGTAATTGTGCTCATCTCTCAAGGACGTGGAATTGTTGGTAGGGTTGTCATACTCATCTCGGGGCACTATTTGAAGGGTGTGTGGCTGCCCACAGGTCAACACAAGAGTAGAAAAATGGCACACAATTTTGGTCTTGGAAGGAACCACCATTCCTGGAATAAAGACAATGGAATCTAACAGTTAGAAAGGTACTTTTCAGGCACAAAGAGAGCTATGTCCCAGCCCAACTCCAAGGGATAGACAACACCATTAAGGCCTGGCCAGCATGGCTCAGTGGTTGAGTGTCGACCTATGAACCAGGAGTTCAATTCCTGGTCAGGGCACATGCCCAGGTTGCAGGCTTGATCACCAGTGTGGGGCGTGCAGGAGGCAGCCGATCAATGATTCTCTCTCATCACTGATGTTTCTATCTCCCTCTCCCTTCCCCTCTGAAATTAATAAAAATATATTAAAAAACAAACAAAAAAACACCACCATTAAGAGTCAGAGAAAAAGATAGAAAACAAAGAGATTAATTAAAATAAACTTTAGGGACTAATTTTTACAAATTCCTAACTACTTCAAGCACTAAACAAAATGAGAGAAGAACTTGGAGAAAACAGAACTGAGTTACGGACACAATGCCTAGAGTCCTATCGGAAATCTACAAGTGAGACAGGCCTTAAAACTAAGTGCTGAACAATCGCAAAAAAAACCTAAATACTTAGATGCAAATCTGATAAAATATATACAAGGCTTGTATATTAAAAACAACAAGATACTGATGAAATAAATAAAAAAGGTCTAAATAAATTGTGAGATGTACCATGTTTATGAATTGAAAGACTCAACACAGTAAAGATGTCAAATCTCCCCAAATGCTATAAAGATTTAACAGTTCTTATCAAAATCTCAGCAAGATTTTGTAGCTTTAGACAATATTATTCTAAAATATATATGGAAAGGCAAAGGACCCAGAATAGCTAAAATAATTCTGCAATAGAAGAATGAAGTGGGAAGAATCAGTTTACTCACTTTCAAGACTTATTATATAGCTACAGTATCAAGACTGTGGTATTGGTGGAGGGATAGACACATCACTCAATGGAACAGAACAAAGAACCCAGAAATATACCCCTACAAATACGCCCAACTCATCCTTGACAAAGGTGCAAAAGCAATGTAACAGAGCAAAGATAGCCTTTTCAACAAATGGTGCTAGAGCAACTGAACTATATGCAAAACAAACAAAACAAAACAAACCTCGACCCAAGTCTCTTATATAAAAACTAGAGGCCCGGTGCACGAAATTCATGCACTCAGGTTGGGAGGGAAGGTCCCTCAGCCTGGCCTGCGCCCTCTCGCAGTCCAGGAGCCCCACTATCGTTCACCCCACAGAGGGAGGCCCCACCTACCCACCAAAGCACCACCAGCCAGGTAACCTGGGCCTCCCTCTGCGGAGCAATCCATCGCGGAGCCCCCCAATCAATCGCCCTGCAGAGGGTGGCCTGGGCCTCCCTCTGCGGGGTGATCGTGGGGCAATGGCAGGCCCCCCGACCAATAGCATCACACCCACCTTGGCTGGCCTGGTGCCAGTGCATGTCATAGTGTGGTTGCCCGGACGGTCGTTCTGCTATTCGGCCATTCAGTTGATTTGCATATTACACTTTTATTATTATAGATGAACTAAAAACAGGTCATAACCTTGAATATAAAATGTAAAACTATGTAACTTTTAGGAAAATAATAGGATAAAATCTTCAGGATCGAGGACTAGTCAAAGAGCTCTCAGACACTAAATACCTATATATATAAAAGACTAAATGTCCATCCAACCGGTAGCTATGACGAGCACTAACCACCAGGGGGCAGACGATCAAGGCAGGAGCTGCCATGACACTCACTGGCCATTTAAAAATAAACGGTACCACGGACCTGGCGCCAACAAACCAACACTTGGCTTCCCCCAAGTGGGACACAGGCCCCGCCACCGCCCTGGAGCGACACTCCACCAAATCACAGCCAATGCTGTCAAGACCGCATGGTGCAAAATGCAGCCCACAGCCCAGCCCAGCCTGGAAACAGTTGCTGTGGACACCGGGTAATGACGTCATGTAGCAACACCTGGCTTCCTCTCCCTAGCAACTAGTGTCCTTGGTGTTTCTTCAGCCCAGGAACCTGACTTGCTTTATAGCCAGGTGCAAACATTTTACACTTTAACCAAATGTTAAACTGAAAAGAAGAAATGGTGGAACTTGAAAATGACTTCAGGTTTTCTCGCTGCACAAAATATAGTCAAACACTGCTGCAAATATTTTACCCTTTGTTCTCCCTGCATGACCTACAATAATAATCTGCTTCGTGTTGATATTTACTGCTGTGTTGCTGACAATTACCTGAAGAGAAGTTGGAGTGCTTCGCTGGGCTGGAAAAAGTTTAACTAAATCAGAAAGCAGGTCTAATTAAGCAAGTTTATTCTATATCTATAAAAGGCTAAGTAGTTGACTGCATGCGTGATACATATAAAGCTCTTGCTGGCGCCAATCAAACGCGTGTTTCAATCTGTCATTGTCAATCATGAATTTGGTTGACACTTCTATTATAGAGAAAGGGCAAACAGCAATATTAAAATATTTCTTCTAATTAATTTCCTTTCAATGTGCACGAATCCATGCACCAAGACAATAGTGATCTATAAAAGTAAACACTGATAAAATTGACTTCACCAAAATGAACAACTTTTGTACTGTGAATGACCCCATTATGAGGATAAAAAGAAAAGCTGAAGATTGAGAGAAAGCACATTACCTAACAAAGGACTAGTATATAGAATATATAAAGAACTCTCAAAACTCAATAGTAAAAAAAACACACCAAAAAATCCAATTAGGAAATGAGCAAAAGACATGAAAAGACATTTCACCCAAGAGGATACAGAGATGGCAAATAAGCACATGAAAAGATGTTCAACATCATTAGCCATTAGGGAAGTGCAAATTAAAACCACTACACACTTACCAGAATGGCTAAAATGAAAACTAGTGACAATATCAAATGTTGCTGAGGATGTGAAGAAACTGGACTATTCACACATTTCTAGGAAGTTAAAATGCTATAGGCACTCTAGAAGAGTTTGGCAGTTCCTTAAAAATACTAAGCATGAAATTACCATATGACCCAGCAATTGCATTCCTGGGCATTTATATCAATGAAATGAACTTACGTTCACACAAAAATCTGTACATGAATGTTCATAGGTTTATTCACAATAGCCAAAAACTGGAGAAAACCTAAATGCCCTTCAGTTGGTGAATAAACAAACTATGGTATCTTCACAACATGGAATTACTACTCAGCAATAAAAAGGAACCAACTATTGATACACTCAACAACCTGGATGAATCTCCAAGGAATTCTAAGTGAAAAAAAGTATGTGCATGGATGGACCTGGAGAGTATTATGCTAAGCAAATAAGCCAGTCAGAGAAAGATAAGTATCACATGATCTCACTCATGTGTGGAATCTAATGAATAAAATAAACTGATGAACAAAATAGATCCAGAAATATAGAAGCATGGAACTGTCGAATCTCAGAGGGAAGGCAGGGGAGAGTGGGTAGGTGGGAAGAAATCAACCAAAGAACTTATATGCATATATACATAACCTATGGTCACTGACAATAGGGTGGTGAAGGCCTGGGGTAGGGAGTCAGGGCAGGTTGAAGAGGCCAATGGGAGAAAAAAGGGGACATATGTAATACTTACAATAATGATTTTTTTTTAAGTTATGTAAATCAAAAGGTTATATACTCTGTGATCCCATGTATATAACATTCTTGAAATGAGAACATTTATAAAAATGGAGAATAGCTTAGTGACTACCAGGGGTTAAGAAAGAGGTGGGTGGGAGAGGAGGAATGAGTGTGGTAATGTAAAGGCAACATGAAGGATCCTTGTGGTGATGGAAATGTTCAGTGTCTGGACTGTATTGATGTCAATAACCTGGCTGTGATATTGTACTATGTTTGTTTTAAAGAGTTGTACTTCTCTTTTTTTAAATATATATTTTTAATTGATTTTAGAGAGAGAGAGAGGGAAAGAGAGAAACATTGATCTACTAGGGATTGAACCCATAACCTGGGCATGTGCCCTGGCTGGGAATCAAACAGACAACCCTTTGGCGCACAGGACAACGCTCAACCAACTGAACCACACCAGCCAGGGCTATACTATATTTTTAAGATGTTGCCATTGAGGGAAACTGGGTCAAAGGTATACCAGATCTCTCTATTATTTCTTACAACTGCATAAGAACCTATAATTATTTCAAAATAAAGAGTTTAATAAAAGGACTGGTATACATTTATAAGGATATGTAATGTTCTCCATTGGTGGCAAGGAGGTAGTTTGATAATAATTCATGTGGAAAGGAGTCTATGAGAGAGACACTGAAACAAAGAACAAGATATATGGAGAGAGAGAGATGGCTTGGGAGCCACCTTGTCACCCTTCCTCTGTTGTAAGAGAAAGAAAATTGATGACTAGTCAAGCAAAGATACACAAATCTTCTTAAGACCCTTCTTGTTATGGTTTGACCCCAACAGACTCCATGGTCCTATCACTGCTGCAGATATCAAAATGACACCCTCAAAAGGAAGCCATGGCAGAACACACAGGACAGACAGGATCTTGACACACTAAAGAGATATGCTGGCTGAAACCGGTTTGGCTCAGTGGATAGAGCGTCAGCCTGCGGACTGAAGGGTCCCGGGTTCGATTCCGGTCAAGGGCATGTACCTGGGTTGCGGGCACATCCCCAGTAGGAGATGTGCAGGAGGCGGCTGATCGATGTTTCTCTCCCATCGATGTTTCTAACTCTCTATCTCTCTCCCTTCCTCTCTGTAAAAAATCAATAAAATATAAAAAAAAATAAAATAAAATAAAGAGATATGTTGCAGAATCAGGAGTCAGAGATTATACTTTTAGGCTTCAAAGTCAGTGAGCATTTATTATCTGGCATAAAGGACATGAAGGGGGTGAAAGAGTAGAGATACAAGCCTCAACTCTTAGATACCAGAAGCTTGAGCAGAAACTCTTCAATGAGAAGTAAAACACACAATGGTAGCAAGAGTGGGATTAAATCAAGGTGGTTTTACTTGAAAAGTTTTCAAAAATCAGAAGAATTTACCTTTTGTCTATTCTGGCACCCTTACTCCTTAAGAACTTACCTGGCTTAAGAGGCAGCAATTCCACTCTTAAAGAAATGAAAATGTGTGTCCACACAAAAATGTACACAAATGTACACAGCGGCATTATGCGTAGCAGCCAAAAGCAATGACCCCCAAATGTCCATCAACTGATGAATAGATAAATTGCAGCATTCTACACAATGGACTATTACTTGGAAATAAAAATAAATAAGTACTAATCCATGCTAAAACATGCATGCATAAACCTTAAAAGCATTATGCTAAGTGAAACAGGCCAGTCACAAAAAGTCCACATATGTTATGATTACACTGATCTGAATGTAAACAGTAAAGTAGTAGCCACAGTAAGCAAATCCAGAAGCAGCAGATTAGTGGTGGCCTACAGCTGGGGCATTTGGGGAAAATGGGGAGTGACTACAAACAGGTACAGGATCATGGGGTGATGAAAATGCTCTAAAATTGAATGTGGTGATAGTTGCACAACTCTATGAATTTTAAAAACCATTAAATTGTGTATTTTAAATGGATGAATTTATAGCATGTGAATTAAATCTCGATAAAGATATTATTCAAAAAAAGGTATAATTACAAAGAAAAGGAAAAAGGGGGAAAAAGAGGGAGGGAAGAAGAGAAAGGAAGAAGGGGGGCGGGGGGGAAATAATGTACCAGGCTGAAAAATCTTGTAGTAGGGACTGTAGGCCACATTTAATCCACCAAGCTTCACTGAGATTTCATAACGCCCAGCCCTGCGCACAGTGAAGGCCACCTTGACCACATTGGAACTGGGCTCCTGGAGGACTTCCTGGGTCACTGGAATTTCCACTGCTAGCTCAACATGAGAGATGTGAACTCTTAGTCCCACAGGCCGATGTGCAGGGAAAGGCTGCCCGTTCTTATAGAATAACTGCAGTGGGAAGAAGAGGGGCACCCATTAGTGAACGGGGAGAGAAAATCGTTAGCCATCTAACTCAAAAAACTGTGGGGAGCAAGGAGGTAGCTGGTAAAACCCAATACCCACCCCCTCCTACAGTCCTACAGACACAGGGAGAAAGAAATTCTCTTAATACTTCAAAGAAAACCATTAAATCATGAACAAAGTCTTAACTTGTTTTGAGGACAGGTTTAAGATATACCATTAAATCAGTTTCAGCTTGACATTCCCACAAATGCTGCCTCTTCTTACCAGCCCTTCTTATTATGTTATCACTGCTAATCCAATGTAAAGGTACGTCAGCAGGTACCACTGGCACTGAGTGAACTAAAACAACAGGCAAGGCTAGGTGGGTTCCGGCTACAAAACCAAGCATCGTACTGTAGTAAAGTCATCATAGGGGGCAGCCCACTTTTTCTAGGGCCACAGAGTAAATAATTTTGGCTTTATAGGTCATACACAGCTATTCAATTGTGGCTAATTACTCATAGGCAATACAGGAAGATGAATGGGTGTTGCTGTATTCCAATAAAACTGTATTTACAGAAGTAGGAGCTGTGCCTGATTTAAGCCTTGGGTCATAGTTTGCCAACCTCTAAATCTACAATAACCCCAACTCTATTTAGTAATATTTTTCTTATTTTGAAGAGGTAACATTAAGTTTATACTTCTTCACAGCTAAGCACCCATTAAACCAAAATGCTAGAGAAATTCGTGACTCTTCGGATACTAATAATTCCCAAGTTCCTGGGAGAGACAGAAAAACAAAGGAAAATGTTAACATTCTAGGCCAGCCCCACCAACAGATTGAACTGGGCTCTGAAAAGTTAAGTGACTCAGAAACCCCAATGGGTATGGAGACAGAAACATTCCCTTACATGCACTCGGAAGGCCATGCTGTGGCCCACCTCATAGGGGTCCTTCCAATCCCAGGAGACTTTGCAAGACCGGGGATCCAGGTAATTTCCCCGCACATAGTCATAAATAGTCCGGTCCCCTCGGCGCTCACGGTCCTCATTCTGGAGGAAGCTGACTACACGTGCGGCGAGCTCGAAGAGGAACTTAATTGTGAAGAAGAATGCAACCACAGATACTGTGATTCCACCTATGCGAAAGAGAGAACACACAGACATCTGCCAGTTACACATTACAGCTTCTCATTATGGAACAGGCTAGCCATCTCTCAAAAATTAAAGGAAGTCAGGAAGAGATAGTAAGACTTCCAAAGAAACACTGTACTGGGTGTACCTCTGTGGGTGAAGAGAGGGATTTATATACCAGGACTCAGACACAACTCTCCTCGGGCCAAATCTCACCCACTGCCTGTTTTTTAAAATAAAGTTTTATTGGAATGAAGCCCCACCCATTCACTTGCATATTGTCTGGGGCTGCTTTTGTCCTAAACTAAAAGAGTTTGGTAGTTGTGACAGACACTAAATAAGCTGGGAAGCTGAAAATATTTACTTTTAGCCCTTTATAGAAAAAGTTTGTCAACCCTTGTTCTATACCATGGACCACATATCATGCCTGCCCCACCACCTTCCTAGGTGCTGGGCTCTCACAAAAGTAGTAAAAAGAATGTACATTATATTCCTGCCATTTGGAAACATTCCCCTCCCTTGTCCACTTGGCAAAAGCCCTCCTCAACCCCCTCTAGAATTTGGAGTTCTCTCTTTTGGGTTCCCTCAAACACCTTACATTCACCTATTATGACTTTCCTTCCTCTTGACCATCTATCTCCTTGTTCATGGTATGAACTTTTTATATGCAGATTTTTGCCTTATCCAACTCGGCAGGAAGCAGTGTCTGGCACTGACTATAATTAGGCAATAAATATTTCCCAAATGAATGAATTCCACTGCCAACTCTGTGAAGGTACTTTCCGGCATGACTGGAAATATGTCCAAGTCTATTTTCAAGGGGAAAGAGGATAGACAGGGAGGCAAAAAGGATGTAAGCATCCCCAACAAAAAGATAATAAGAAGAGCTTTTTTCATAACATACCAATAACGTAAAACATCAGGTCCCTTCAATGCCAACAGACAGCCGAGGATCACAGCTGCAGCTGCAAAAGAAAACTTGTTTAGTTTTTTCTCCAAATCTTTCTTACAGTCATTTCAGCTTGACAGGTGCCCTGTGACATATTTCAGACAGAGACTGCATCATTCTCCCTAAAGACTTCTCATCTACGGACCACCTAGGAACACCACAAACAGCCATTGGCTTTATTGCTAATTACAAAATGCAATAACATGGCTTTCATCTTCTCAGATCCAAAGCCCCAAGATAGTTTCCCTCCCCAAAGCAAATTGGTGCTAATTAACACAAGCAAAGAGGATAATGGAGTCACTTTTCCCTTATATTTGCCTTCTGGAAGTAATTCACCTAAGTAGAAATAGTTATATAAAAATGTGGATTTTTAAAAGCAAGTATTATTATCATCATGTTGGCATTACATAATTAAAATGAACTCTGGGTCATTCCAATAACAAGCAGTGGGCATGTAAGAGAAGTCATTTTTGCTGTTACCAATCAGACAAACTAATGGGCCCCGTGGAAGATGAGCTCAGCAGGAAGGCGAAGGAGAGGAACAAAAGGAGGAGACTGTACTTCTCATCCTAAGTGATGCTGCCAAGGTCATAACAATTCAAACAAGAGCTAGAGTTTGAGGGTAAACTTTCACTGTTATTAAACTTGTTTCCAGAATAAGACTTCAATTGTCATTACTCATTTGAACCACCCTAGGTACTGCCAAGAAAAATGCAATATACATTGATGTTCATATCTTATCACTGAGTTTTGACCTAGTATGTATAAATTATATATGCTCTCTATTCTACAATGCACTGAATTCACTCTTTCTTTTAGGGTCAATATATATAAAGGTTGTCAATATTAACTCAACCCAGAACCTTATATCAGCACTAGAATGTTACTTAGAGGTACGACAGTTGAAAATTTATAGGCTCAGATTTGGGAGGGATCAAAGCAACTTTTTTTTTTTTTAAGAGGGTACACTTTATGTCTAATTGTGGGAAAAACTTTTAAGAGGGAGACAAAAATGGCAGCAGTTCCTTTGATAACAATATACCGAATGGAATCCACAGAGAATAGGTAATTTGAGGAATGACTGTGTCAAGTTTCATAGAAATCTCTAGACTAAAGTCCGTCCAGAAAAGAAATCACAACGATAACATTAGCATTGCCAATACACATGGATTAAGCTGCTCCAAAAGGGTCTATTATAAAGAGACAATATACAGACCCAAAATCTTGGGGTCACAATTATTGAGTCTCCTCTTTGGTGAAAAGTTGCTATCATCTCTCAAAAAAAGCAACGGTCTGCATCTTACAAAATGTGCTAGATGACTTGTAGAGCCAAAACTGGCAGTTTAACTGTTTTAGGTACTCGCTCAGTTAGATGCCATCCAATCTGATCCTGGATATGAAACTTCTAGTCCTCAGAGAATAATACTCAGCAGAAAATGAAGTTTATGTGGCTTGTGCTATAGGACGTTTAAGTTTCTTGCTTCTCGTTTTGGGTTTTGTTGTTGTTGTTGTTAATCCTCATCCGAGGATATTTTTCCATTGATTTTTTTAGGGAGAGTGGAAGAGAGAGGGAAAGACAGAGAGAAACATCAATGTGAGAGAAACACATCGATTGGTTGCCTCCTGCACAAACCCTGACCAGGGCCTGGGTTGGGGAGGAGCCTGCAACTGAGATATGTGCCCTTGACCGGAATGAACCTGGGACCCTTTGGTCCGCAGACCAATGCTCTATCTACTGAGCCAAACCGGCTAAGGAAGTTTCTTGCTTCTTGATGGAATAAGAGCAATGCCAAATTTGTGGCATACACCATAAAGGCTAGGAAAATTCCTACATACTATCTCTGATAACTATAACCTTTTCGGAAAGAGGCAGTCTGGAGACCAGTTCCAGGGCTTAATTGTGTAATCTCTCTAAGATTCACTGCTGTATAAAGAGTTGAGATTTAATAATTTCTATGGCATCATCTCCTTTAGTGCAATAGGACTTTAATATAACTCCCCATAGCCATCAAGACTCTAAAATCAAACAGTATAAAAAAGAGTATAGTACAGAGGACAAGGGCATGATTCTAGAACTAGACTACCTGGGTTCAAATCCATGGTCTGCCACTGACAATGTGACCCTTGACAAGTAATCTCTCTATACTGCAGTGATGACAAACCTATGACACGCATGTCAGAGGGGACACGCAAACTCATTTTTTTGGTTGATTTTTCTTTGTTAAATGGCATTTAAATATATAAAATAAATATAAAAAATATAAGTCTTTGTTTTACTATGGTTGCAAATATCAAAAAATTTCTATATGTGACACGGCACCAGAATTAAGTTAGGGTTTTTCAAAATGCTGGCACGCCAAGCTCAAAAGGTTTGCCATCACTGCTCTATAGAGTGCCAGTTTCCTTATCCACCAAAGATAATATCTGTGTGGCCTTAGCCAGTTTGGCTCAGTGGATAGAGCGTTGGACTGAGGATCAAAGGGTTCTGGGTTCGATTCCAGTCAGGATCATGTACCTCGGCTGCAGGCTCCTCCCGGGCCTGAACCCTGGTCGGGGCATGTACCAGGTAACTAATCGATGTGTTTCTCTCACATCAATATTTCTCTCTGTCTTTCCTCTCTCTTCCGCTCTCGCTGAAAATCAATGGAAAAATATCCTTGGGTAAGGATTAAAAAAAAAAGTTTTTAAAAAAAGATAATACCTCATAGGAGTGTTATGAGGATTAATAAGTAAACACATGTTAAGCAGCCTATAATAGTGCCTGGCACACAATGAGTTCTCAGTTTTAATTATTATTATAATTATTAATAGTAGTAGCAGTATCACTGCTCCTTTGCTTCAGAGCCAATAGGAAACTAGGGGACCCTCTCTACTGGCCCACACTTTCTTCAGTGGGAAATGCATCAGAAATACAAAAGGCATGGCTTCTCTTACTGCACTTAAAACCTCTGCCTACATGGAAGTTCTTTATATTATTCTAATTTTATGTCTGAAATTCTTATAATAAAAAGTTAAAATTCATCTGAAAATGCCCTGGTGTGGCTCAGTTGGTTGGGAATCATCCAGTGCACCAAAAGGTTGACAGTTTGATTCCTGGTCAGGGCATATGCCTGGGTTGCAGGCTTGATCCTTTCTCTTAAAAAAATAAAAAATAAAAAAAATCCTCAAATAATCCATCCAACAAATACAGTATAGAACAGCCACAGTCTCAGGCCTCATGAAGCTGGCAGTAATGAACTTGACCTTGTTGCGTCCTTATCCATTTTTGCCCCGTTTACTTATTTCTCAACAAAATCACCACCACTGATCTAGATTACCTAGACCTTTCCCAATAGGTCAATTCTACATTTCCATCCCGATTCCCTTTATTATTTAAAACTCAGCATGCCAATTATTACCTTTTCCCAAACAACTCTCTTTGAAACCTTCTTGTGAACAGGGAGTTAGCTCTGCCATTGATCTGACCCTTACAAAATAGCCTACTACTCCACAATAGCTCTCAAAAAACTCCCCAATAACATTTACCCATCTGCCAATTTTACCTATGGTCACATTCTGAACTTGCCTTGTGTACTTTCTCTTTCCTGTTTCTTTCTGAATATGCTGTCACAAAGCCTCCCTATCTTTGTCTCTGAGTACAAGGTATCCTTTTAGGGTGACCCCTCAAATCACTTTTATTCCAGATTTACCTCTTCTGTAGGCATTTTCTGTCCTCTTACTGACCCTGTCATGCCCTCTCTCTGCCCCATCTCTGCTTCCACTGCACCCTATATTATCCTTGGTCCCATCACCCATAATATCTTCTTATTCATCCTATGATCTATCCAAATCAGATCCTTTACACTTTTACATATAAGCTCTGAAATGCCCCATCTCCATGCCGTTGCAGAAGTCATTTCCTCTGCCTAGACCAGGGGTCCTCAAACTTTTTAAAAAGGGGGCCAGTTCACTGTCCCTCAGACCGTTGGAGGGCCGGACTATAGTTAAAAAAAAAAAACTATGAACAAATTCCTATGCACACTGCACATATCTTATTTTGAAGTAAAGAAACAAAACGGGAACAAATACAATATTTGTATTTGCATGTGGCCCGCGGGCCGTAGTTTGAGGACCTCTGGCCTAGACTATCCTCTCCCCTCAGCCTCTACCCATGAAAAACCTCCTAATCCTAAGGTCTAGGGAAAACCCTATCTCCCTCCCTGAAATCTTCCCTGATCTCCAATTTAAAGACTCCTTATCTCCTCTGAATTCCCACACTACTTTGTTTTTATTTACCTTATACCACTTATGTTCTCTTTTAGTCCCTTGTTTTATTTTCCATTTCAGAGTGGTAAGTAACATGAGGCAAAGATTAGTGTTAAAAATTCTCCACAGCATCCAACATGACTGCATATAGTAATTGCAATAAATATGAATATAGTATCTGCTGAATGGATAGGATCAAATGTCTGTTCTTTTCTTTGTCCAGAATGTATAATGATCAGGAATTTTCCAGATTGGACCTTCGTCTTATAGTTTTTAAAACTTCTCTAATTAGCAAGATATTCACTTGAGCCAGAGGTTATATGCTCTTCAGTTCTACAAGTATGTATCAAATACCCATGCTTTGAGTCATGGGTTCTCATGCATGTATAGTATCCATGCAGTTTTATGATCCTATCTTCCTCATTTTAAGCTTTTATGTTTCTACAACAGTTTCCACAGCACCCTCCACTTTCTGCTGCTCATACCTCTCTTCCATAAAATTATTTTGGAACTCTTCCCAAGTCTAGTTCAAGTACAAAGAAGCAATATGTTAAGCCTCTATCATAAAATTTTATGCAATTAGCTATATGAATACTTTGTTTTTAAATTTATTTCTTTAGTGTTCTTGCCTTTATACAATTCAGCAAACTGTGATACCCTAAGCTAGCAGAATAATAGTAGCATATAATAACTTACATACTCTATTAGTTATTACATACTACTATGTACATAAGTTATTATATACAGTAGTATGTAATAACTAATAACTTACAACCCCCTTACTGCTGAAACCGGTTTGGCTCAGTGGATAGAGCATCAGCCTGCGGACTGAAAGGTCCCAGGTTCGATTCCGGTCAAGGGCATGTACCTTGGTTGCAGGCACATTCCCAGTGGGAGATGTGCAGGAGGCAGCTGATCGATGTTTCTCTCTCATTGATGTTTCTAACTCTCCATCTCTCTCCCTTCCTCTCTGTAAAAAATCAATAAAATATATTTAGAAAAAAAATAAAAAATAGATGTTTAAAAAAAAAAAAAACTTACAACCCCCTTACTGATCTACTTATCATAGGCCAAACATTGCACTAAGTGTTTTACATGTTAGCTTAAGTAACTGTCACTATAAATTATTCTCATTTTACAGATTAAAAAAAAAAAAAGCTTAGAAAAGTTAACTTGCTAAACATCTCCCAGCTGGTTAAGTGACAGAGCTAAGACTTGAGCCCATGTCTAACTCTGAATCCCAATGTTCTTAACCTCGTACAACACTAAATTATAAAAAAGAATGGAGTCATGCCCTAACCGGTTTGGCTCAGTGGATAGAGCATCGGCCTTCGAACTCAAGGGTCCCGGGTTCGATTCCAGTCAAGGGCATGTACCTTGGTTGCGGGAACATCCCCAGTCAGGAGTGTGCAGGAGGCAGCTGATCGATGTTTCTCTCTCATCGATGTTTCTAACTCCCTCTCCCTCTCCCTTCCTCTCTGCAAAAAATCAATAAAATATATTAAAAAAAAAAAAAAGAATGGAGTCATAAGCACAGTGAGGTATTTAGGAAACGCTTTAAGAAAACACATACAAAAAAACAATATGAAAAACATCACCCAGTCTTGCGATGAGAATTTCATGACCAGGCTAAAATTAGAGAGATAAATGCTTATGGCCCCCTTTTAAATCTTTTGAAATAAAAATAAAGCATGACAGAGGAAAATGGAATGCAGTACCAATTATCTAATGCAGAAATATCACTTGCTTACTAAAAGATCCCAGGCAAGTTGCTTAATACTATAGCTCTTTGGCTTACATTACCTACAAAAGCAGGGGAAGGGGGAAATACTTGAAAATATCTGTCTCAAGGGAATGTGAGAAAGCTGACTGATATACATATTTTAAAACCCTTTGGGGTTTTTTTAGTATAACAATTTATAATTACACCAAATAAATTTTAGTCCTAACATTGAAGATCAATTGTGAACAGTCATTTCCCAGAAATGGAGAATTGATTTCTTTATACTCAAAGATGTCCTGCTGGAAATACAACTGTGCACGTCCATAGCTTTTCCTTGCTGAAGAGGAACTGGGTCCATGTTCTGTATCCCAGTAACAACTGAATCTTAACTAGACTATTGCCTTACCTTTAAGCGAGGGCCCATGTTCTAAGAACCAAGTGGAGCACTTCTATTCACCAAAGCAGGTAACTTGGCCCTTTCACCATGTCTTCAACTTCCACAAGAGAGAAAGTAGCCGCAAGGTCAACAAAAAGTGTCTGTCCATCAGACCTTCATTGAGGGTGCGTCAAAGAAGCAATCAATGTTTCTGGAACGAACTGGGTGACTTCCAGAGTGGAGAAATATAACCCCCAAATATATCATTCCTGGGCTTCTCTCTAGTGCAAGGCGCAATCAACTGCCAAAGGATGCATCTCTTCTGCTGTCTCGGGATCCTATCCTACAAAGAAAAAAGGGTTGGTGGAATAGGTTTTTATTTCTGAAAAAGAATGCCCAGAAAACAAAAAAGAGAGGTAGAACAGACCGTGGAAACCCTGGGACACTAAAAATAGCCAAGGGCAGGTAAACCCTGACAAAGTTTTCCCAATTAAAACTCCACAAGAGAAGTCAAATCTCATTGCCTTAATTGTGTCACTCCCAGAAGGAAGCTCCACCATTTCAGTTGATTCCAACCCTTCAGCAGAGTGAGCCTCACACAACCACATGCCCAGTTTCAGTTTGATGGGGCTGGAGCACAAGGTGTGGCCACAAGGTGAAGAGAAATGAGAACATGGGACATGTGGGGACAGGTTACAGAGGCCTCCCCATGTATTTCCAAGACATGGTTAAACAATGCTGATCTTATCTTTCAAATAGTAAAATCTGTGAACTTTCAAGATAAAGTCGCTGAGTAAGAAAGTTCAGTAAATAAGTCTGTCACTCAAAGATATTCATGAACTAATATAGCAGAAAGGGGGTATGGCAAAGCATACACAAATAGCCACCATAAAACAAATGAGAAGAGCCTACTAATCACTAAGTGGAAAGAAACAGTCTCTTTCTACATGGCAGGAACTGCTCTGCTCTCAATGCTTCACATGCATTAACTCACAATCCCAAGACAGAGATATAATTATCCCTATTTTACAGATGAGGAAACTGAGGCACTTTCTCAAGATTATGCACATATAGTTGAGTTGAGTCAAACCCAGCCAACCTGCACCCAGAATCCATGCTCTTAAGAAGTACTCTACTGCCTCTCTACCATGGGAAACTAAGAAAGAAAACACAAAATGCTAATAAGAGCACAAGAACCGAATGAGTGAAGGCCAACAAGTTGGCAAACTTTTATAATTAAAGATAAATAAGTGTACGTATTTATTTTATAATATGGAGATAGACTTGCCAAGTACATGAGCCAAAACGTGGGACAACTAGTAACTGGAACCAGCTTAAAGGATCTGCAAACAAGAGATGAGTTACATAAACTATAAGAGATCCATTAGAATGCTATATAAGCATTTTTTTAAATGACACTTATAAAAAATAACAACACAAGGAATTGCTCACAAATAAAATGTTAAATGAAAAAGCAAGCAAAAAATTATTTACATAGCATGAGCCCATTTTTAAAAATATTATATTACATAAAAAAGACTGGAAGGAATACAAAAACGTTAACAGTGGTCATCTCTTGATGCATGAAATTATAAATAATTTTTATATTCTACCTCTATATTTAGCATTCTCCAAATTCTTTTATGAGGCAAGAACATATAAAGAGTTTCTAATTCTGGAGAATAAGTACTTGTTTTTCTAAAAAAGGGAAAGAACAGGCAAGTTGTCCCTTTTTCCAATAAGGAAACAGTTAAAAAAATTAGCTCAAAATAACAGAATGTACTACTTTTATTTCTGTTCATTGTGATATTAATGGGCCTCCAATGCTGTGATCAGCTATTTGATTATTAAATCAAATAACTCCTAGTTCTATCGTCATCATTACTGATTTAATAATTTTCTTCCAGTTCTTCTATGCCCCACCATGAACTATCATGTTTACCACCCCTACTCCCCCCTCCACTGCCCCCAATGCTTCATTGTTTCTAATGAGCTTCAAGACTCAACTTGAAGTTGAGTCTTGGTTAGAGGGTTGGCCTGCGGACTGAAGGGTCCTGGGTTTGATTTCAGGTCAAGGGCATCAGTTGCAACTTCCCTTGCCCCAAAAGAGACATGTGCGGGAGGCAACCAATCGATGTGTCTCTCTGACATCGGTGTTTCTCTCTCTCTTTCCCAACCCCCACCACCACCCCTTCCACTCTCTCTAAAAATGAATGGGAAAAATATCCTCGGGTGAGGATTAAAAAAAAAGACTCAACTCAAGCACGACTTCCTTCCAGGTCCAACTCCCAAGCCCCTCTAAGGGCTCCTCCACGTCAGGCAAAACTAACCACTTCCTTCTTTGTGATACTCCTATGCTGAAGATACCTCTATTATAGTATTTATTAGTCTATATTATAATTATTGGTTTATACAGTAGTCTCTCCTAATGGATTGTGGGCTTTCTAAGGAAACACCCTGGGTCTTACTCATCTTGGCCTCCCAATGCTAGTATGATGTTCAGAGTTCTATCTCAGACCCTGTACTTTTGCAAGTTTCACAGGTGATTCCTATGTACATTAAAATTTGAGAAGCATGGTTAGACTCTAGAGTAGTCCGCCTAAGAAGAGACCCAGTATTCTGCATCTCTAACAGGCTCATAGGTAATGCTGATGCTGCTGGTCTGCAGATCAAGCTTTGAGGAGCAAGGGTTCTAGTGCAGGAATTGGCAAACTACAGCCTCCAGGCCAAATCCAGACGGCTGCCTGTTTTTGTAAAAAAAAAAAAAAAAAAAAAAAAGTTTGTATAAAAAGAATGAACACAGCCAAGTTCATTCGTTTACATATGGTCTATAACTGCTTTTGCACTATAACAGCAGAGTACTTGCAGCAGAGATGTATGTATGGCCTACAAAGTTTTCCTATCTGACCCTTTACAAAAAAAGTTTACCAATCTCTGATGTAGCGGTTAAAGCTATATAATTGCCTTGTATACAAGAACTCATTTTTATAAACCAAAAAAAGCATGAAATCATTTTCTTCCCGTTCTTCTATGCCCTCTTAGGAAAAGAGCAGTATTTTGCAAATATTTCTTCTGGCTAATTTCAACTGTTATTTAAAAGTTTTATGCATCTCACACCCCAAGTAGGAATTTTATACAATCATTTCCCAAAGTATGTGTTTCGTACAAAGTTTATGCTTGCATTTCACCAAGGCTGTAATTTCCTAAAACCAGTACCTCAGGAACCAAATACTATATATGGGCTTCTAAAATTATTACAACACATATCACCAACTCAGTCTCTACTTTCAAAGTGCTATTCTTAAAAACTGTGGGGGGAAAATGATGTGAAAGTACACCTAGATTCTTGTGAATAAAGATGTAGTGGCAGCACATTGGAGTTCCAAGTATCAACCACAGAGTTCCACAAAACAAGACAGGGCAAAAGTAAGACACTGGCTTGGCAAGAAGTAGGCTCCAGCATTCTCTACACAGAAGCACCAACCATGAGTACAGGGAAATCAACTTAAAAAGCAAATCATTCAATTAGCAAAAGGCCTATAGGTTAGTGGTATAACTAAGAAGGTTCCAAGAAATAAAGTGAGCCATCAGATACATTAGATAATTAGTTTACATTTTCCCTTGCTTAATTTCATCCTTGGACTATTCTCCACCCCAAAATCCCACCATAAAAGATTGCCCTCCCCCTATTAAGTTTATACTCTTGAGATATTTATATAGTTGTGTATTCCTGCTATCTTGGTTCAGCCAAGTTATACAGTTTTCATTTATATTCTTTCCTCATCAGTCAGCCCCTCCAGTCTCTTAATCATTCCTGTGGGTCTTCTGTGAACTCTCTCCAGCTAGTCCCTAGTGATCTGGTAATGAGGTGCCTCCAACTGACTGCAGCCTTCCAGGAACAGCCGAGTTAGTCAGAACAGGATGAGCTCACCCTCCTCAGTTCCATGACATAATACTCCTGAGGAGACAATCCCCAAATCGCAGAAAACTAGAATGTGCCATATTAGACTATAACCCCATTCCATACTTCTCAGATTTGGGCATTGGAGCACGCCAGAATGTACTAGAAACCAGAAGATAAAGGAAACATATTCCTGCAGCATCTAGTTACTTGAAAATGAGGTGGGTGAGGAGAAAGTATTTTCACGTTAAAAAAAATTCTCAGGTAATAAAATAGAATGCAAAATATGCATGCATTTCTAAAGATACATCATGGATATGTTAAAAATATTCATAGACATTTTGTACCTGAGGCAGAAAGGCTGCCTGGGGCTCTGCTCCCAGCCTCCAAGTGGTTCCACACCCACTATCCTCTACCACTAAAAGTACTATATTTGAGCTGAAAAGTTTGAAAAGCACCTCCAACTCAACTTCTGGTTTATTACCCTATTACCACCCATCCCATATACTCACATCTATTTTTTTCTGCTATGCTTCCCCAATGACTACCAACATCTTCAGGTTCTTCTGTATCGTTCATTCATTTTATATTTCTTGAGCATTTGCTATACGCCTGACTGTGTGCTAAAAACTCAAGTCACAAGGATAATTAAGACAAGGTGGGAGATGGGCAATATAATGTCGCAAGTACCACAAAAGAAGAATATAATGGGCAAAGGGAGAGAGGTAACTTTGCCCGAGTGAATAGAGAGGTCTTCAGGAGAGACAATACCGTTGTTACTTAATGAGTAAGCACTTGCAAGGCAGAAAAAAAGGAAAAGACTAGTATCCTAGGCAGAAAAAAACAACATAAACAAAAGTACTGAGTCAAGAAAGGGAGTGATGTGAAGCTCCGCATTACGGACGCGCTGTGTTTAGAAAGACCACCTGGAGCCAAACTGGAGTGACTGATTCTAAACACATACAGCGTAGTGGTCAAGAGTGTGAATCTCTCTACTGAGTGACAAGCTACTGAACTGCTCCTAAGTTACCTCAGATATAAAATGGAGATCCACTGAGAAGAGGAAGGAATTCAGCTGTTCTTGGGAGCAAGACCTGGGGTATAAGGGAAAGGAAGACTGGTTGAGACTGGAAGCTAGAGTCAGGTGTCTTGGCACTACAGGAGTGCCTCGAGAGACATGGCTCTATGTGCAACCAAGCTGCTGGGTTGCCAGGATATGATGGTGGTTTGTGCAGGGGCCCAACCCACAATAAATGAGAGAGATGGCATTGAGTGTACCTGAGGGTCTATCTAGCTTAGTCTTTAATGTGTGGCATTTTTTTCAATTGATATAATGATTTTCAGATCCATATATGTTGTTACATGTATCAGTGGTTTCGTCCTGTTTATCACTATATGGACATGTAACAATGTTTATCCATGAATCAGCTGAAGGCCATTTG